ACTAGATTGCAACAAGAAAAATGTGTTAAGCTGCTTCAAAGGGAAGAATGGAGGAAAGGGGAGCAAGAGCAACTCGGGACAAGAGGAAAGTGAAAATGAAAGGAGAAAGACCAAAATGAAAGCAGAAGGGCGGGTCGGCAGGGCAATAGGGAAGCTTACCGACGAAACCCACATTGCTACAGTCTAAAGCTACTCATCTCTACGTTGCATCAGGATTTTCGTTGACTGGACAATCACCGACGAGGATCAAGTTGGCACTGCACATATTATCGACCTATATCTTATCGGCAAACAAACAAAAAGCTGCAACACCCAGTGGCCACCAGCCGGATTTGCGGGGAGTTGCTGAAGGGCAAGTTACCGACAAGGACTATGTCGGAAACTTCATCAAAAAGCTGCACCCCTGACGCAGGCAGCTATCTGGTTGGCGGGGGGAGGTGCATTGGGAGTGGAAATTACCGAGGAGATAGACGTTGGAAATTGATCCTCATTACCGACGAGAGTTTCGTTCCAAATTTAATTTACAGGCGTACTTCTCGTCGGTAATGTGCCTTTCCGTCCTTCCCCCACCGGCCGGAGTGTTGGTTACAATTACCGACAAGTAACACGTATGTATTTTGGTAAATTACCGACGAGTATTACGTTTGTAAAATAAATGATATATCTTACTGCCATTTCTACTGTTTCTCAAGTTGCAGACTTATATCTTGTCGGTAAATGGATGCTTCACCGAGAAAACTTCTTACCTCGGTGATATGTGGTCGGTGAAGCTGTGTTTTCTTGTAGTGAAAAAGGAACACACTTTCCTACAAGTACAAGGGGAAAACGCAAAAAAAAACCTCAAACAAGCACCACGCTATATAGATAGATCAGCTCATACAGGATATACCAACAGAAGAACCAAATGCCATGCCAAGGGATTTGCATGTGTCAAAAGATTAGCCCATGGAAGGTTATCATACTTGGATAACGCAGCGAGTGGTCGCTCTTAAATCTCTGCTTTATCCCAACTCAACTCAATATTGTGTGGGAAGACTCAAGTCGCGTCTTGTTCTTCAGGGACAGCTTATTTTCTGGCTGCCACTAGTTTCTCTTTTTCAGCCAGTATGTTGTTTGTAGAATAGAAGGCAACAACAACTCATTAAGAATGGAGATATAGAATGCATGAGATTTTAGATCCAAGGAAAAGAATCATCTGAATTTGAATTTCATCACATATAATAAGCAAACCGTAAGGGTTTATAAATACATATATCATGCGGAGACGGATAATAGCCATTATGAAGTTTTGGGACGGTAGTTTATCATCCTCTGTAAAAACCATACAATGAAATTACAGCAAGCTATTTCTTCAGTGGGGGGGTTTTTGGCTTGCTGTTTTCTTGATGTTTATGATGACAAGATGGAGATGCATCAATGGTATCCCCATCCCTAATATAACTCACGAGTTTCCTGTTAAAAAAGATGAAAAACTCAACAATTGGAATTTTCTGTCTAATCAAGTCAAAATTGTTTTTAAAACTCGTATTGCAATGACCAACAAGACCCAAAAAATTCAGCTGGTTCCCAGAAATCTGCATCATACCATCCGAAAGGCTCCTGGTCGAACTATTTGGCATTGCCAACTGAACTATTTCAGAGTGACTAGCTGGTCATCATCATCTGTACCAAAATATCGGTCTCCAAACTCTCCCATGTCAGGAATAATACGAAAATCTTCATTTAGACCGATATCAATCTCATCTGCCACTATCTTTATTCTTGGGAAGCTTTTGCACACCACATGCACACCCTTGGGTGCTTGGTAAATCAAGAGAAATAATGTCCAACAAATTATACAAGTAAAATCTCCATACTAGCTGTCAGAAAGAATAAGGGCAAATAAACATTTCAGAGATTGAAAAACCAGAAGAATTTCAAAGCAATGATGACTTACGGAAATGAGATTAAGAAAATAATGTTGGAATCCGGGACACCTTTGCTTATACGTAAATTTATAGCTTGAACAGTCGAATTCCCTGTATAGAAGCCTGATATGTTAAATTTTATAAACTAGAAGAGTAGTTATCAAGCGATTGATTAGATTCTTTTGATATTAAGTAATAATGGAATATCTTTGCAGAATTACTTCTAGTGTGTGTTACTAGAATTAGCATACAAGCCAGGAAAGATAAAAGCAGCCCACATGAGATGGGAGATTTTAGATTAGTTCATAGAATGAGCTATAGGCCTCTTCTAGGTGGAAAAACTACCAGATAATTTTCTAGGGGTGGATGAATACCAATTGCATAGGTTGCACAAAAACAGGTGGGCATGCTAACCAGATGAGATCCAGTAGCGACAGACAAACCTGTTCCTAGAATGGGATCCAGTAGCAACACATTCCGTTCTGATATGTCTTGAGGCAATTTTTCATAGATAAGCCGGTTAATCATTGAACCATGGAGCAATCAACAATTAGGAGAAAATCACACTTGCATACACACACACAATACGGAAGCCATTCACTTCTAAACAAAACACAACACAGTAAAAACTAAAAAGGATTAATAAGGTTCTGTTATTGCTGTTGGACATGGAGCGACGAACATTATGTTGCATATATGTATTTATAGGAGTCCGAATTTAAATTGAACAGAAAAATTTATATTTTCTTTATGAAATTTCGAATTTGTTGTGATCAAACTGATAGGAGTGGCAATATTAGACCCGGTAATATATATGTATATATATATATATTTATAACATGGATTGTTGTGGTTGCCTCTTTATCAATCCAACATAATTTGTTTAAATATCTTCATGTTTTTAGGTACTGTTGTTGACACTGATAGATGCCACCCTACAGAGTTTGACTTTTATCTTAATAGCCATGCTGGAATTCAGGTAAATTACTTAGTACTTGTATTTGGTGGAACTAATAACCTTGTGTTTTAAGAATAGTAACCTCTAATCTAGTAATGACAACTAGCATGCTTATGTCAATTTGATTGTTTTTCTTTTACAGGGAACCAGTAGGCCTACTCACTACCATGTCCTTTATGATGAGAACCGTTTTACTGCAGATGCCTTGCAAGTGTTGACCAACAACCTATGTTACACGTAAACAATTAAAATGCTTATTTATAATCTGGTTGTTAAAATTTCTGATTTAGAATATCTAATAAATTCTAGTCCTTATTTACAGGTGTGCAAGGTGTACTCGATCAGTCTCTATAGGTGCAAGATGCTTTGATTGCCTCTTGTTTTTAGTTCATTGTTATTTATTTTCCTATTGTTCTTGACACATGTTGGTTGTCTTTGTGCAGTGCCTCCTGCCTATTATGCACATCTAGCTGCATTTCGAGCAAGGTACTACATAGAAGGAGAATCTTCAGATGCTACTTCTTCAGGCAACAGCAAGACTACTAAGGAAAAAACTAAGGAGGTTAGACAACTCCCCATCATCAAAGACAATGTGAAGGACGTGATGTTTTACTGCTGAATACTGACTCTTGGAAACCTTTTCCCTTTTTTGCTCTGGTCCTGCCAACATTGTAAGATAGATGTTAGGGCAATGGTTCTATGCCTATGTCTTTTTGGGTTTGCACTGTTGAATGCCTTTTGATACTTGCAAGTAAATGGTTAATGCTTGTGAGATATAGGATTTTAACAAATATATTTTGACAAGCGTGGAGGCTCCACACACGTCTTGCTTATATGTTTTATTTTTATTTTTTCTCTTTTAAAAGTTCCATCTTTCATGGTTCTCTCATTGTATGGTTATTTGTTATTTTGATTGATTATTGAGCAAATCACCTAAAGTTCGGTCGAAGGCTACTAGGGTTCTTACCGGATGCGGTAAAATTCACTGCTTTTCTTTTGATTTGGTTTAGGAACTTCTTGTAAAGATTAAATTACAAAATGAAACTGGAAACGTTACATGTTGTATTTGGGGCCAATGTAATTGCAAACTAGTGGGATAGATAGCAGGGTTCCAGACCTCTTTACTAGGGTATACTTATGCTACAGAAATATTACAATAACAAGCATAATTATGCTTATGAAGTAACTATAACTTGGTGGAGGTGAACTGTTACTGTTATTCGATGGTGGAGGTGGACTGTTACTGTTATTCGATTGTTCTGCTGGTACACTAACCAGTGTCCCGTTAATCGTCAAGACATTAACTGATTGTGAACCTGAAAATGTAAAGCATTGGAATTCAGTATCAATGGAAACTCAAGAAACGTACAACTCGCAGGTTATATATAGAGAATTTTGTTTTATAATTAAAAATGATTCAAATTATACAATAGAAACTGTCTCCACTCTTATTAAAAAGTTAATATATTTTATGATTTGAATTAATTTGAATGGTAAAACGCTTTTTAATTATATATATTCCTTTTTTTATTATTATTACTATATTTGAAAAGGAAGATTAAACTCAAATAACTTTATAAGTTTTATAAAATCTTAGTTGTTGAAGTAGTTTTGTGATTAGCATAAAAAACTTCCATATCTTCATAATAGAGTTCAAACTTCTGCCTTTTCTCCCCATCCCCCTTATTCCACAAGTCTGAACCACTTGCTCTAGCATATCAAAAGTTTATAAGTATGTTAGATGCTGGTTCTAAAGGGGTAATTGAGACTTACAGTCATAGTTTACCCATCCGACTGTTTGATTGTCCAGATCATAAACAACGATTTTGTCCTGTAAAATTACATCTGCAAAAACATAGACATGAAGGTTGGATTTAATGGAACCAATTATAATCATTAAAATAATTAAAGCGTAGAACGTGCTGCAATGTCAAAAATGCACCATATATGGTTCAAAATAATGGAACTCAAAACTGTGAGTGTGAGATTATTTATTATCACCCTTAAATGATGTAAATTCTATCAAAAGAATGTCCTGCTACGTAAAATACCTCCTAAAATCGTCAGTTCTGATCCTGGTGTTTTTGCAAAGCCAAGGCACCAAGTTGCAACACCATTCTGTAGCACCAAATTCAGCCATCATATATAGTTAGAAAAGGAATGAAGCTATTTTCCAATATGCATCCGCCTTGCAACCAAAACCAGGCTAAGAGAAAGACCAGCAGTGCTAATAGAACATCAATATTGATTATTAATGGATTTGTTAATCCATGTATATATATACATGAATTCATATATGTTTACATTCTGACAACTTACGGTGTTATTCTGCAGTGAAAGATAATCTTGAGGGTTCAAAATCATGGATGCGCCATCAGAAAAGTTGAAACTAACTTGAGGAAATATGGCAAGGACATTGTCACTGAGCAAAATATCAACAGAGAGTCTTTGAGTTGGAATCATCTTAGAAGATTGAACAGTACTTAACAAGAAATGAGACAGTATTGTATCAGGAAATGAACCTGGATTTGAATGAATAGCATTGCTCTTCCATCCCTGGGGATTGTTCGCTGATTGATTGAAGCACTGATGGTGAAACAGTGCTATTGATCTATATACGCACATAAGAATATATAATTAAATGGAGATTGTTTGTAATTAACCATATTTATACTTGTGTAACCATATGTCTCATTAAACAATAGTGCTTCTGTACACCTACCATGGTAGTAAAAAGTCTAATAGTTTAGTTTAGAGATCTCAAATTTAAATTCTGAAACGGATGAAAAAGGATTTGGGAAGGAGAAGCAAGGAAGGTTATGTAAACCTATCATACCAAAAAGAAAAAAGAACTTTGTAAATAACATGGATTCTTAAAACTTCCTCACGAAGATGGGAAAAATGCTGAATTAACTTACGAAATGAATAAAGACATCATAAGCTGTTTCTGCAAGGAACACCAAAGTTGTCCCAGAATCAACTATTGTTCCTGAGTTGTTTGATGTTGCAAAAACTGATGGATCAATTGCTAACTTTTGACCGTTGACAGAAATGCTTTGTAGATTGATATTATAATGGGACCTGTACATTCATTTTGATGGTAAAAATGGTTAGTCAAAAATTAATTAATAAACTAAAATCAGGATTCCTAATAATTTCCGTAATCAATTTTGGCTGGTCTGTCAATTTGCAGAACAAATCCAAGAAATAAAGTTAATTTTCATAACCAGAAGAATTAACAAAATCTCTACTTCTCAAAACAATAGAGGCAACAACGTACTGGGATGGGACAAGCGAGGTATAAACTATATTGGGCTCCACAATCTTTCCAAGAACCAGTATACCTCCACCACTGTTGTCTCCTCTCAAGCAGTGGGAAAATACATTGGGTGCTATGCCTTGTGAGGCAAGTTGAGAGATAATTGACAAATTCTGCGGTCCAAACCCAAAGATCCCATCCACTGCTCCATTTGACTCCGTCAAGTCACCACTCTGGAAGACACTACACCTGTTTCATAATCAAACATTTGAAGAAATGAATTATGAACCCTATAACAAGCAAACACAAATAAAATATAGCAATTAGTATCTTAAACTCGAGAAATTCTGTTAGCTCACCCGAACATAATGGTTCCTGTAGAATTTGTAGTGACAGAGCCATTAAAAACTGTATCAAACTGCAACGAATCCGAGACATAGTGGCCTAACGTCCCACTACCATCATCATATGTGATATTGTAATCGCACTGGTTGCTGTTAGATGTACAGATAAAATCTGATGATTGGAGTCTTAAATTGCATCTTTGGTCTGAACAGGATACTAATGAAGCTGTTGATGAGCTCCCTGGATCAAAGAAATTTAGCTGAAACTGAAAGAAAACATGTCAGCTTAATTGATTCAACAATTTAGGACTAAAGCACCCCTGCCGCGTGTTTTCATACTTTATCTATAGGGAAATATACACATAAAGAGAAGTGAAATTACTGGAAATTCACTTTTCCGCGGGCAGTCATTGCAGGATTTGCAACTGACCCAAGAAATATAACTTCCAGTGTCAATCTGTACGTGGAATTCCTGTGGAGGAGAACCCAGAAATACTTTTGTGTAATAAAGCCTGTAAATGAATCGGCATAATCAATCAAGAAGTAAGAATGATATATCCCAGAATCCAGTTTGGAAACTAATAAGCCAAAAATTCAGACATTGTCTATAAAATCAAAGGAATAAAAAGGCAGAATTGCATATGATTACCCTGCAATAAACGGATTGTAGTCCCCATTAAGCGAGAAATTAACGACCCCACCAGAGGACGTCAACAACCTTCTGTGCCTGGCTGCATCACGTGCAATGAGTTGGCTCAGGTTGAGTTGTTGACTGGACGGAATAGTCTTCTCCAGCTTGAAACTC